GGGCCGGCGAGGGACTCCCCCGCCGTGGCTGAGGCACGGTGACAGGGCCCTGGGGGAGTGTGTGCACAGCACCCTCCCTCTGGATGCCCCTCCTCCACAGAGCTGCCATGCAGGGCCCCCTCCCTGGGGACAGCGTCTTTGCCCTCACGGGGCTTCCTGGCCGCAGCTCTCCTGCTGGGCCACTAGAGATCAGTTCCCCTTTCTGCTGCCTCAGCCTCTCCGCATGGGGCATTTTAGGAGCGGGTCCGCATGGGGCATTTTAGGAGCGGGTCCGCATGGGGCATTTTAGGAGCGGGTCCGCATGGGGCATTTTAGGAGCGGGTCCGCATGGGGCATTTTAGGAGCGGGTCCGCATGGGGCATTTTAGGAGCGGGTCCGCATGGGGCATTTTAGGAGCGGGTCCGCATGGGGCATTTTAGGAGCGGGTCCGCATGGGGCATTTTAGGAGCGGGTCCGCATGGGGCATTTTAGGAGCGGGTCCGCATGGGGCATTTTAGGAGCGGGTCCGCATGGGGCATTTTAGGAGCGGGTCCGCATGGGGCATTTTAGGAGCGGGTCCGCATGGGGCATTTTAGGAGCGGGTCCGCATGGGGCATTTTAGGAGCGGGTCCGCATGGGGCATTTTAGGAGCGGGTCCGCATGGGGCATTTTAGGAGCGGGTCCGCATGGGGCATTTTAGGAGCGGGTCCGCATGGGGCATTTTAGGAGCGGGTCCGCATGGGGCATTTTAGGAGCGGGTCCGCATGGGGCATTTTAGGAGCGGGTCCGCATGGGGCATTTTAGGAGCGGGTCCGCATGGGGCATTTTAGGAGCGGGTCCGCATGGGGCATTTTAGGAGCGGGTCCGCATGGGGCATTTTAGGAGCGGGTCCGCATGGGGCATTTTAGGAGCGGGTCCGCATGGGGCATTTTAGGAGCGGGTCCGCATGGGGCATTTTAGGAGCGGGTCCGCATGGGGCATTTTAGGAGCGGGTCCGCATGGGGCATTTTAGGAGCGGGTCCGCATGGGGCATTTTAGGAGCGGGTCCGCATGGGGCATTTTAGGAGCGGGTCCGCATGGGGCATTTTAGGAGCGGGTCCGCATGGGGCATTTTAGGAGCGGGTCCGCATGGGGCATTTTAGGAGCGGGTCCGCATGGGGCATTTTAGGAGCGGGTCCGCATGGGGCATTTTAGGAGCGGGTCCGCATGGGGCATTTTAGGAGCGGGTCCGCATGGGGCATTTTAGGAGCGGGTCCGCATGGGGCATTTTAGGAGCGGGTCCGCATGGGGCATTTTAGGAGCGGGTCCGCATGGGGCATTTTAGGAGCGGGTCCGCATGGGGCATTTTAGGAGCGGGTCCGCATGGGGCATTTTAGGAGCGGGTCCGCATGGGGCATTTTAGGAGCGGGTCCGCATGGGGCATTTTAGGAGCGGGTCCGCATGGGGCATTTTAGGAGCGGGTCCGCATGGGGCATTTTAGGAGCGGGTCCGCATGGGGCATTTTAGGAGCGGGTCCGCATGGGGCATTTTAGGAGCGGGTCCGCATGGGGCATTTTAGGAGCGGGTCCGCATGGGGCATTTTAGGAGCGGGTCCGCATGGGGCATTTTAGGAGCGGGTCCGCATGGGGCATTTTAGGAGCGGGTCCGCATGGGGCATTTTAGGAGCGGGTCCGCATGGGGCATTTTAGGAGCGGGTCCGCATGGGGCATTTTAGGAGCGGGTCCGCATGGGGCATTTTAGGAGCGGGTCCGCATGGGGCATTTTAGGAGCGGGTCCGCATGGGGCATTTTAGGAGCGGGTCCGCATGGGGCATTTTAGGAGCGGGTCCGCATGGGGCATTTTAGGAGCGGGTCCGCATGGGGCATTTTAGGAGCGGGTCCGCATGGGGCATTTTAGGAGCGGGTCCGCATGGGGCATTTTAGGAGCGGGTCCGCATGGGGCATTTTAGGAGCGGGTCCGCATGGGGCATTTTAGGAGCGGGTCCGCATGGGGCATTTTAGGAGCGGGTCCGCATGGGGCATTTTAGGAGCGGGTCCGCATGGGGCATTTTAGGAGCGGGTCCGCATGGGGCATTTTAGGAGCGGGTCCGCATGGGGCATTTTAGGAGCGGGTCCGCATGGGGCATTTTAGGAGCGGGTCCGCATGGGGCATTTTAGGAGCGGGTCCGCATGGGGCATTTTAGGAGCGGGTCCGCATGGGGCATTTTAGGAGCGGGTCCGCATGGGGCATTTTAGGAGCGGGTCCGCATGGGGCATTTTAGGAGCGGGTCCGCATGGGGCATTTTAGGAGCGGGTCCGCATGGGGCATTTTAGGAGCAGGTCCGCATGGGGCAGCCTGACCGAGGAAAGGAAGTGGCACGTAGCACAGACATTCATTTTCCCTTCCCTCCCACAGGGGCTGCAGTCACAGACAGAGCACTGGGCTCACGGGGGAGGAGCGGGTCCGCATGGGGCATTTTAGGAGCGGGTCCGCATGGGGCATTTTAGGAGCGGGTCCGCATGGGGCATTTTAGGAGCAGGTCCGCATGGGGCAGCCTGACCGAGGAAAGGAAGTGGCACGTAGCACAGACATTCATTTTCCCTTCCCTCCCACAGGGGCTGCAGTCACAGACAGAGCACTGGGCTCACGGGGGCTGGAGACACAGGACGGTGCAAGGAGGTGAGATGGGGCAGCCTGCGTTTTGGGGAGAATGGTGGCAGGTAGC